AGGTGCATTCCTGGCAGCTGTTGCACCATGTTGCCGGCTGCGCTCACCTTAGCTCTGCCCCATGGGGCCCCTTCTTGCCACCTTTGGCAGGGGGCATCTGAGGCTGCTAAGGGCTGGAGGGGGGGCTCTCCTTAGCTCTGCCCCATGGGGCCCCTTCTTGCCACCTTTGGCAGGGGGCATCTGAGGCTGCTAAGGGCTGAAGGCAGGCCTGAGCCAGCTGGTGTGGCTGTGGGGCCGGTGCAGGCTGCTCTTGGGGGGCACTGATAGGCTGGTAGGTAGGGGCAGGACCCTGTAGTCCGATCACAGGGCTCTAGGGAAACTCTGCGTTCCTCCTGGGCTCCCTTCCCTGCCCATCGGACAGGAATCCCGTGCCAACAGCCATGCCCCACGATCCTCCTCCCAGACACAGGGGGAGGAGATCCCTTTTCTCTGCTCCCTGAGTCCCAGACTTCTCCCACCCTCTGCTGCACCCCTGGAGCTGGGCCAGCCCATGCGGGACCCCCACGAAGGACACGTGAGTGATGCGAGAGGAGGACACATCGACGTGCTTAGGCAAGATGCAAGCTGGAAGGTGTGGTGGTGAACGCAGGCTGAAACGGGGCACGCTCCCTACACTAGCCGGCTTAGCAGCACCAACCAGGGAACGGGGGAGCCGCCAGCTCTGCTCCTCACCCCTGGTGGGGTGCAACAGGGTATGCTGGCCCTTTAAGACCGCATTGCCCTGAGTCTGAGCACAGTCCCAGACAAGAGGCATGCTGGGAATTGTAGTCCAAGAGGCAGCTGGGCGTGCAGAAGCTGGAGGCAGAAGGCATTCTGGGAAGGGATGCTGCTATATAGGCAGCCCCATTCTTCCCTGAGAGCCACTAGAGCAAAGCCACTGCTCAGGGCAGCACCCGGGGAAAGAGGGTGGGACGGCTGCAGTTTGTGGTGAACGTGGTGGGTTTTGTTAGAAACGCCAGGGAGGAGAAGGACTTGGAGAGAAGGGGCCACAGGAGGGGTGTTGGGGGGGAACATCCAGACCAGACGCTTGCCTCTGTCTTTGGAGCCTACAGCTTCCCACAGCAGGTGGGTGAAAGCGGCTCTTCGCACCAGGGCCTCCAGGGTGGAGGCTTGCAGGGCCCTGCTCCAGCGAGGCTGTGACCCCACGCGAGACAAGGACCATGTGCTGGGCCTGCTCTTCTGTTACCCTCGCGGGGGCTTCAGCTCCGACCGAGCGCCAGCCCCGCTTGCGGGTGGAGCAGCCCTAGGCACGCAGAAGGCCAGGCTCTCCGAGGCACTAGGTCATACCGGCCCCTGGCAGAGGGTCTCCGTCGTAGCAAGCAGATCTGGGTAGCTCTGGTGACCCCAGCTTGGCGGGGGAGCAGGGGGGGTTTAGGGTCTTTTGCTGTTGGATTTTTTTACGGGAGGGCGAAAGGGCCCAGGTCTCCCAGTGGCTGGTGCAATCCATGGAGCAGGCGAGGAAACGCCTTTGGGAAAGGCAGGGTTGGCGTCCTCTGCACCGGGCAGAGTCCTCACAAGCGAGCGGGCGCCAGTGTCATCTGCCTCTGCCGCGGGGCCCAGTCCCCCCGCTCCTCCTAGACTGCGCGGCCCAGCGCTGGGAGGTGCCGTGGCTCTAGGGGCTCCCGCTGCAGCAGCTGGCCCCAATGGACGCATCCCCGGGGAGCAGGGCAGCGTGAGCTCACAGAGGCTGAAAGCTGGTGGTGGAGGAGAGGAGGGAGACTCCGGAAGAGCCCAGGTCTGGTTTCCTCCCAGCCCAGCCAGGCTGCGGCACCATGGACCGGAAACCCTGTACAGACCTCCACGAGGAGGCTGCCGTGAGTTCCTGGAGGCTTGGTCTAGTTTCTCCTGCGGGGTAAGGAGATAGTCATGGAGACTGACAGTTAAGAACATAAGAACGGCCAGACGGGGTCAGACCAAAGGTCCAGCCAGCCCAGTGACCTGTCTGCCCACAGTGGCCAACGCCACATGCCCCAGAGGGAGGGAACAGCAGTTCATCCTCACATGATCCCTTCCCTGACAAACAGAGGCCAGGGACACCATTCCTACCCACCCTGGCTAACAGCCGTTGATGGACCTCACCTCCATGAATGTATCTAGCTCTTTTTTTGAACCCTGTTAAAAGTCCTAGCTTTCACCACATCCTCTGGCGAGGAGTTCCACAGGTTGAGTTGTCTGACCCACAGAAAAATCCGTCAGGGTCACATACAAAAACCCCTCCCTGATGTGGTGCCTGAGTGAGAAACAGACAGACACTCATCAGGTTCCCCTTGCAAAACAGAGCCTCGGAGGGCCCAGCCTAGTAGATTTTGTGTGCTCCAGCCCCACGGTGGCGCTAGGGTTGCCAGGGGTCCAGTTTTGAACTGGACAATCCAGTGTTGGAGCTTTCTGTTTGGGAAACAAACTGAGAAAATAGAAATGTCCGGTGTTTCTAACTCAGATGTGATGTAGATTGTGATGTCAGGTCAAGTGTGTCCGGTATTTTTGTTGAAACCATCTGCCAACCCTAGTGGAGGGGGTTGGGGTACCAGCACAGGATCCCCAATGCAGGGAGTCTTGGAGGCCAGATCCAGGCAAGCCGGGTCCATGTTTGGCTCCCGGCCTGAGATCTCCCACCCCTGCTTTCGACACAGCGGCTGGCCCCTTTTCCCCACCTTCTCCTCTGGTGCTCACAATAACCAAGCAGATGGAAACTTCCACTGGGACTGCTCCAACTTTCATTTTATTGTTGAAAATGGCATTGGGGGAGGGGGAGAAAGGGGGGCACAAAATAGGGAGGTTTGTTGCAAACGGGGGGAAAGGGGGATTCTTTGGATGTACATCAGCAAGGGGATTCCTACCAGAGTGGAAGTGACGGCAGCAGTAGAGTGGACCGGCTGAATGCGCCGCTTGGGCCACGCTTGGCTTTTCTTCGGTCGGTTCTACTTCGCGAGTGAGCCCGCGCACAAGCCCCGCAGGCGTGTCTAGACGTATGTCTGTGCGTGTGTCAGAAATCGTGCCGACACGCCCTACGTCCCTCCAGCGCCCGGCCCCGAGGGGCTCACGCGCCGCAGCCAGGCGTAAATCTGCAGGATAAAAGCCTACTGCTGGCGGGTGAGCCCAGCTGCAGGACACAGAAACGGGTGAGCGGCCGTGCAGTGAAATCTGCCTGCTCTCCCCTGTGCGTGTATGTGTGTCCTCAGCCAAGCGCGGAGTAGCTGTGCTGTTTTACCTGGCTGCCCGGCTGCTTCCTACAGCTGTGCAGTCGGCTTATGCTTTAACCGGGCTTTTGGGCAAGGGAGGGGAAGGAGGAACTCTCCCACCGGGGCGGGGGCGGATTGACACACGTTCAGTTCTGCTGCCCAGGAGCCGGGCAAACTGAACCTCACCGCTTCCTGTCTCCTAGTGGATCTTCCCATGAGCAGTTTCGGTTGCATTACCAAAAAAAAAAAAAAAAAACCATACAATAGACACATTTTCACAGAGGTCCGTCTGTCTGTCTCTCTCCTGCAGGGCGTCCGCGGTGGCAGGGCTAAAGGTCTCCTTGCGTCAGGCTACGGTCGAGTCCCTGGTTGGGGCGGGCGGCCCTTCATACGGGCCTGTCCACGGCGTACTGACAGGGGCTGAGGTTGGAAGCTGCCGTCTGCACCGCCGGGTAGGTGAAATTGGCATGCTGCTTGGCCTTCAGCCTCAAGCTGGCCAGGCTAGAGTTGCACGTGTCCCGATACATGTAGGGGCTGGCGGAGGAGGCGTAAGGGCAGCTGGAGGAGACCGCCGAGTTGAGGCTGGGGCTGTTGAGGTTGTTGATGGTGCCCAGGTTGTTGAGGCTGGCGCCGGGCACTGCGGAGGGGACCATGGAGGAAGGCATGGTCATGGAAGCGATGGAGCTGGGCGGAGAGAACATGGGCTGGGAGGAGAGCGAGCTGACGTTCATGGAGTTGAAGAAGGGGAAGCTCTTGGCCGACAGGGGGCTGGTGGCCAGCCCTTTGGTAGCCCAGTTGTTGTAGGAGTAGCCGGAGTACATGTCGTCGTACGGCTGCATCAGTCCGTTGAACTGAGCCCCAAAACTGTTCTTACAGAGCTCCGCCTGCTGGTTCCGCTCCCGCTTCCTCCACTTGGCTCTGCGGTTCTTAAACCAGACCTGCAAGGGAAGCGGAGAGAGGGGCAGCGTCAGGCCGGGGTCCCCCTGGAGCAGGCCAGGCCGGGCTGTGACCCGGAGCAAGGAGATGGACTCAGCAGGCTCGATACTGAACAGCGCGATGGGCTGCGGCAGGGCCCCCCCACGGGTCCCTTCACCTAGGACCCCCAACAAGAACGGAGCAGCAGAGCACACAGCCCGAGGGGATGCCTCTGTGGGTGGCCTTCCCCACCCCGACATCCCGCGTCGACGGCACGGATGGCGGGCCGCAGGCTTGTGTGCATGCTAAGGGTGTCAAGTCCATTGCACTGGGGAACCGGATAAAGTTTAACGGATTAAAGGGGCGGCAGGCGGGAATGGGGTGCCCCCCTTTTGCTGCAGGCAAGGGCTCCAGTCTGCGATGGGGGCGCTCGGGCCAGCCGCGGACACGGGCTGCTCCAGCTGACCCTTACCGGTTAACCAGACAACCTTCCACGTCCACATCCCTAGTCCACACCCTGTTTCCACCGACCTCAGGAGAGGAATGGAAACTCCGGTCCTTGCCCTTCCCCCTTCTGGTCTCAGTTAGTTTAGTCCGGTTCTCAGGCCCCATGGAGGTTTCCACCAGGGCTGAGGACCTCACACTGGGCTGGACCACAACTTACTAGCGAGAGAGACCCTCACAAAGCCCCCCCCCCCCTCACTTCCCCAGCTGTGTGCAATCACGTGCCCCACCTGGCCTTCCATTCTCCACCACACAACAAACACGGCAGTTGCTTCCATAGGAAAATATTAGGAAAATACTTTGTGTATTTTTAACTGTGATCTAGCAGCGAGGAGCCGGTGTCGTATGACTCGGTAGATCTTCCTCGACCGTAAGCAAGGGCTCTGAGGCGCCTTGTTTGAGAAGTGCTGCACGGGGAGAGCGTGCACGGCTTTTGGTCTCTCTCACAGGCGGCAGGATTGTGTGTTAGTGCTGTTGTGTACTCAGCAGAAGGTGATGGACAATGAGTGCTCGCTGGGGGTGCTTCCCAGACCAATAACGTGAAAATAGCCCCCCAAAAATCAATCCAAAAATCGAGTGAAGACTATTTAAAAAGAAGAGATGAAAAAGACTGGCACTTCTCAGCTTGGAAAAGAGGAGACGAAGGGGGGCTATGCTAGAGGTCCGTACAGTCAGGACTGGTGTGGGAAAGAGGAAAAGGAAAAGTTATTTACTCGTTCCCACAGCACAAGAACTAGGCGTCACCAACCGAAATGGAGAGGCAGCAGGTTTGAAACAAAGCAGAGGACGTTTTTCTCCGCGCAGCGCATAGTCAACCGGCCCTTTGCTTTTGAATGTACAAGAGCCCCCCCTCCGCTCTTGTACATTTCAGAAGCGGAAGTGCCACCGGTCCCCCGCTGCACCCCTGCCCCTTCTCCCCACGGCTTTTAAGCCGGTTCCCCCCAGCCCTGGATCCTGCTCCCCCCCGCCTCTCTGATAGAGGCAGCAAATGGAGGGGGGAAGCGACTAGCGGCGTCACTAGTTGACTATCTGATAAGCATTTGCCTATGGGATAGTCGACTATCCGACCTTGGGTCTGACCCAGTAGGGCCGTTCTTATGCTCTGCCACCAGAGGCCTTTGGCCCCATGCCCATGACTCCTAATACAGCCTTGCATCCTGCTCCTCAGCGCCCTCTCTGCTGCCCCACGGCCCCATTCCCAGCCTCCTGGCTCATGCCTCACATGGGGTGTCTCCACTGCAGTTAGACAGGCTGCGGCTGGCCCATGACTGGGGCTTGGGTTATGGGGCTGTTTCATTGCGCTGTAGACATGGGTGGTGGGTGAAGGCCCAGCTGGGGAAGGAAAGCCCCAGCCCCACCCCTTCAGCAACCTTTCCCCCCACGGAGCCCAGCCCCCCCATTCCCACTGGCCGGGAAGCGTAGGCAGTGTAGGAAGGCAGTGCCTCCCCTTGCCTCTGGTACCGTGCCGCTGTCCGTGGCTGTAGACTTGCAGGCTCAGGCTGGAGCAAGGCCTCTAGGAGCCTGCAATGTGGGAGGGGCCCCCACTGTCCCTCAGAGCACGGCTTCAGCCCCATTGGCAGTAGTGAGAAGTGGTGGCCATCTTTGCTGTGGGCAACTGCGTACCCATGCACCTGCGCAAGGGGCAGGCTAGCCAGCGTGGCGTGAGGGCAGGCTGGGACTGAGAGCCACGCGTGGGCCAATGCAGCCCTTCTGGACAAGAGAGCCACGCGTGGGCCAACGCGGCCCTTCTGGACAAGGGGACAGGTTTGCGAGAGGAAGCCAGACGTGGGAAATTCCTACCAACCCTTTAACCCAAACCATCTAGGTGTCGTGAGACTCCTGCTAAAACCGTGGGAGTTGGCAGCGTCTCCCTTGAAAACGTGCCGCCCTGCTTATGCGGGCACGCCTCCCCAGTGGGAAAGAGAAAGCCGCCAAGGGCCGCAGCGGGCGAGGAAGAGGCGGGGGCCAGTCGGAAGGGAGTGGGGGTGGACAAGGGAAAGGCAGGAGCACAGAGCAAGGGCAGGGTCAGAGTCCGGCGCAGGAGAACACAGGGAGGGAGCTGAAGCAGGGATGAGGAAGGGCGATGGTGTTACTGTTCATCTGTATTTATAGCACCTAGTCCCGGCTGAGATCAGATGGAAGTTAATGGTGTTAATGCACCGCCCCGAGAGGCTGGAGAAACGGATCCCTCACTGGGTCTACACCGGGCTAGGTTGAGCTAACTTTTAGGTGTAGACTTGGCCTCCTACAGCTGTTGCCATATCGCTGAAAGAACAGGTCAGCCCTGGGGAAGCCCCCGCTGATTGGCTACATTCCCCACTGCCCCACCTCCTGGACAAGAGCAGCCAATCAGCGCGGCAGCAGGCAAAACTGACCCATTCTTACGGGATGGGAGAGGGGAGCAGAAATCAACCAGGATGCTGCCACCGCACCAAGGAAATCAAGTGAGATTTCCCCTGGTAGCACCTGCCGGCGTGATCGTTCTCGGGAGCCTGCACCGCATCCAGCTGGGGCCTGCTGGGCAGTGGGAGCCGGGCGGTGGAGCGGACGTGCCGGAGAAGCCTCTAGTGCCTTTGGCTCGCTGGGGAAGTCAAGTTCTGGGTTGGGCGTGTGGCTATCCCCTCCTCCCCCAGGCTGTGGCTGTGTGCAGGGGCCGGGCCGTACCCGGACTCGTGCCTCCGTCAGGTTGGTCCAGACTGCTATCTCCTCCCGCGTGCTCATGTCTGGGTAGCGGTTCCTCTGGAAGGTGGCCTCCAGTTCCTGGAGCTGCTGGCTGGTAAAGTGAGTCCGCTGCCGCCGCTGCTTCTTCTTCAGGGAGCCGTCCTCGGGGTTGGAGTCGTCGGTCTGGTTCTGCTGGGACTTCTCGGTGTCTGAAACGCAAAAGCAGGCAAGCGTCACAACGCAGCCCTGGGACGCCCGCAGACCCCTTGCTCCCAGGACAGCCGCTTCCCAAAGCCCAGGGATGCACCGCCTTCTCCTTACCCACTGCAGGCGGCTGGCACGCACCCGGGATTCCCGGGCCTCCAGAGCATCACATCCCTGGGGACTGTAATCCAGGCAGATGTGAAAGCCACCTGCCTTGCCTCCCGAATGCAGCCAACTGCAGTAACTAAGGCTTTGGACTCTTAACTTCTCTTCTCTCACCAGCCAGGCAGTCTCACAAACCTACACCCCGTCTACACGCAACATGCACCGTTTTAACTTAGTCTGCTTCAGACTGAAGTGCGGTCCCTTGTTTCCATTGGCATGGTTTATTGGAGTGCAGCCGAAACCTGCTGAAGCTACGCTGGTAGGACAAGTGTAAAAAGGTTCACTGAGTGTTTCTTATGCTGTCTTAATTCTAGCGCGGTTCAATCGCACCGTTAGTGAACCTGATGTGACCTGATGCCTAGATGAGCAGCAATGGGCTTAAATTACAGCTGTGGAGGTTGAGGTTGGACATTAGGAAAAACTTCCTGTCAGGGTGGTTAAACCCTGGAATAAATTGCCTAGGGAGGTTGTGGAATCTCCATCCCTGTAGATATTTAAGAGTAGGTTGGACAGACACCTGTCAGGGATGATCTAGATGGTGCTTGGTCCTGCCGTGAGGACAGGGGACTGGACTCGAAGACTCTTCCAGGTTTAGTGTTCTACGATTCTATAATACAAATAAGTCCAGAAAGCAGAAAAATGCCAGAGGAGAAACGCCACATGGGAGAAACGTTCATCACGTCACTTACTGCGTTTCTGGGAAGCACTTGGGTACCAGGGGATGGCAGCTGGAGAAGCCTGGAACAGACCGGAGCGGTCAGGCCAAGGCCGGATTACAGCATGCTGAGGCACTAAACTAGGTCCAGTTTAAGAGACCCCAGAGCATTAGCCAAAAAAAAGTGTATTGTTCTAATAGAAAGGACAATGAAAACAGAAATGATCAAGTTTTCTCTTTGCATCTAGACCGGTATGCAGGTGAGCACACAGCTGAAAACGAGTCATTCTTTTGTACCCGGTCTTGCTTTAAAACTTGTTAGTGATGGAGAATCCACCACCCCACCCCAGGGTAAATTGTTCCACTTGCAAATTCCTCTCATTGCTAAAAATATGCATCTTATTTCCTCTCCGAATGTGTCTAGCATCACCATCCAGCATTGAATCGTGGTACCCTTCTCCCTGCGAGTTGAAGAGAGCAGCAGAAGTCCCTACGGGTCTACGCTTGCTCCCTAGTTCGAGCTAGGGATGCCAGTGTTGGCGACTGAAATCGCTAATGAAGCGGAGGTTTGGTTCGAACTAACATGTCCCCGCGTGCACTTTCACTTTCGAAACAGCTGTTGAGCGGAGTAACACGCCGGCGAGATCATGCTAATGAACCGCAGGATATTTACACCCCCGCTTCATTAGCAATTTCGGTCGCCTACATTTGCATCCTAGCTCGACCTAGGGAGCAAGTGTAGGCGTGCCCTACGTGGGGAGCACATATATTAGTGACTGGGATCAAGGCAACCCCTTTTACTTTCTCTTCGTTAAGCTACATAGGTGGAGCTCCTCAAGTCAGTCATTCGGAGCCAGGCTCTCTCCTTATAACCGTCCCCGGGGCTCTTCTCCGAGCCTGCTCCCTGGCCTAGGGTGATCCCATAGCTAGCTGTACCCTTCGGGCAAACGTGTCTCCGTGTTCATGCGAGAACTGAGCGGGGCAAGACACCAGATTGTGCCCCTGGCTAAGGAAGTTCTTTGCTGACCACAGCACTCGCGGTGATGGTACACGCCCCCCCCCCCCCACTGGCCACCTCTTATCTCCACTGTCCATTTAACCCTCGGCCCCGCCGGTGCATTTCACAAGAAGGGGGCGTGTCAACAGGTGTGGACAGCTGACCCTGGAGGAGCAGAAGGGACCCCGAAATACTTCACACAGGCCCCTCAGCAAACGTGGTGCGGCAGTGGAGGAGGGCTCCACCCGCAAACCTCGCGCTGAGCCCGCTTTCTGTGCGCACGCCGCCGTGTGAGAGTGGGAAGACGCTGACGGCGTGTCCTCCAAACACGGAGCCACGTGAAGCTACACTCAAACCAGGTGGACAAGGCCGTGCGCCCCTCGGGGTGGAACCACAGCCCGTCTCCTCAGGGCTCTGGGGAAGCGGATTCCTTTCTCCGGCCCCCGTGGCCTCGTGGCGCCGTGGTAGCGGCACGTCCCGTATATGCGCGTGTTACTGTGCGTGGTGACTGGGGCGACTGGTCTGCGCCAATGGCAGAAATGGCACCGCTAAGGGTAACGGGCCGAGTGTCCAGGAGGTGGCACGGTTCGGTTTAGGGATGTTAATGGAATAGTCGAGTCACCGCATGGATTCTGATCGGTTAATCGACTACACTATTACATCCCTAGTTCGGTTCCACCCGCGCTCGTTCGGTGAAGCCTGGGGCGTTTGCAAGGGGGGCACAGGCCTAGTGGTGAGAGCCAATGGCAGCACCACCGCCTGCCCAGGAACCGGCGGAGAGCGAAATGGCGCGCCCCGCTGCAGGCTGTGCCCGGCGGGCAGGGAGAGCAGGCGTTGTGCGGGACACGGGGGGCCAGTGGAGCATGTCAGTTGCACTGGGTCTCCTTTGATGGCACAGCTGACTCTAGACAGGACAGCTGCCCCACGGGGGGGGGCAGCTGCCCCCACTGATGTAGGAGCAGAAGGGGCTGAGAGATCCCTTCCTGGCCCGAAGAATTCGGCTCCCCTACCAGAGTGGGCCATGGGCCCTGTCCTGCTGGATTCCTCCCCCTGCAGCTGCAGGGCTGGGAGCCAGCCAGACCATTGCGGCTACTTGGGAAGGCAAGGCCACGCAGTGCTCCTGAGTCCTGCCGGCTACTGGTCTGCACGGGGGTGGGGGGGCGGACAAGCTCTGAGGAGGGGTGGGACCGCCGGGGCTGCCAGCTGTAACGAGGCAGAGAAACGGTGACAGCCGGGGGAAGAGAGCAAGGAAGCAGCTGTCCCCGGGGAGTGCGGGGAAGGTCTAAGCAGAAGGCAGGTTGGGCTGGGCCAGGCGACAAGGGGGGGGAGTTGGGGTGCAGACTGTCCCCTGGAAATGGGGGTTTCGGGCTGTGCTGGCTGCCCCCCAAGCAGAGAGAGGGCGTAATTCTCCCGCTGCTCTGGGTGCCTGCCTGGGCCTCTCTCGGGTTGTCTCTGACCAACCCCGAGATGTGGGCTCCTTCGGAAGGCCCCGGGGCCGTGAAGGCGGGCGGGGAGGTGGAAGGGCTCTGCCCGGAGAGGAGGCCAGGCACTAAGGGGAGCAGGAGCACCTGGCCCGGGGGGCCTGGGACACGGGCACTGAGGAGGCCGGGCAGAGGGAGGTTTTCCGCCCCCTTCCCCGCTAGCTGCACTTCAGCCTGGGGCCCGGCCTGCCCTGCGCTCTAACGCTTGGGTCTCCCTCTAGCTCTGACTGCCATGGCCCCCCGGCTCTGCTACCCCCTCCCCACAAGCGGGGCGTCAGCGAGAGCCCCCCGCCAGCGCACACCTGAAGGCAGGCCAGAGCCAGGAGGGGAAGTCACACTATTTAGGGGCCGTGGGGCGCCCCTTTGCCAAGACTAACCGGGGAGGGATGTGTCTCCTCCCAGCCTGCCACGTCCGAAGCGGAACCTGCTCCCACAGCGCACGGCGGCGCCACGGCTTCTGACGAGCCTGCGTTTCGGCGGCCTTCCAGCTCCGGCCTGCCAGCGGGGCACCCAGCACATCGCTGTCCAGCCGGGGTCTCCTGCCATGGCCCGATGCTGCTCCCTCAACTCAGCCGCTAAATTCCTCTGGACGGCTCTGGGTCGGAAGGGGCAGCGCCTGCCTCTCCCCCCGTCCGGCCGTGGGAATGGCCGCTGGGGTCGGCCGCAGGGATGGGACGTGCCCGTTCATCGGGTAACTGCTTAAACGTTACGTTTACCCGCTTAGCCGGGATCCTGCGGGGGGGGAGCCGCCCCTAATCGGCAGTGGGGCTCTAATCAACGCAGGGAAATGCTGCCCCACGTTCCCTGCCTGCTGCTTCTGCTGTCTCCTTGCCAGGGAACGGGGGGCGATCGGGAAGGATCTGAGCACCTCCCCCGCCCCCAGCGGTGGGCAGCTTTGTTCCCAGCCGAAAATGGAGCCGCCGGCCTGCCCGGCCCCCGGTAGTCGCTGAGTTTCAGGGCGAGTGGCGCGTTGAAGAGCCCAGGATCCAAATGTGAAGTGCTGGGGGTATTGGGCCAGGACCCCCCTTTCCATGGCAGAGATGTGGGGGAGGGATTCTCTCGCACTCGGTTTATACCCGGGGAGCCCCAGCCCGAGGCAAGGCACCGCCCGGGCACCCGGTCAACCCGCCACGTGAGCCCAGCGCGCCCCGTGGCACGGACTGCCTGGCCTGCGCTTACCGCTGTGGTCCTGCCCTTTGCAGCCGTGCTCGTGCTGCGGGGTCCCCGAATCCGAGAGGGACAGGGCGGGGCTGCGCGCGTCGGCGTCCGTCAGCAGGTTGAAATCCATCTGGCAGGCGGCAGCGGCGAGACCTGCGGAAACAGGCACAGGGTGAGTGGGGGGCAGCGCTCCCCCCAGACCCTCTCCCCGCCCCTGGGAAGGGACCGGCCGATGCAGGCAGAGGACGTTCTGAGAAGTCAGGGAACCCGGCTGGGCTTCCTGGCTGGGAGGCGGGCAGGCTGGCACAGCCCTCGCTGAACTCCGCGCTTCGCTGCCCTATAAATCAAAGATTATCTAATGGCCCTTCTATTTGCAGCCTTCAGAGAAAGGGCCTCCGATTGATAGGTGACATTCAGCCTGAAATAGCAGCATCGGGAGCAGGCTGCGTAATGGAGATCTGAGGAAGTGGCCCTGTGGCCGGCCAAATGCAGTTAGCACCTTCCCCAAGCATCCAGCGCTCCCCCTCCCGGCCCCCCATTCTCAAGCTCCCCCGCAGCGACCTCCCAGCCCTCCGCTTGGCTTCCTAACCAGCAGGGGGCCGAAAGGAAACACACAGAGCCGGGGTGGCCAAGAGAATCGCTTTTCGGCACCCCGTGAGCGCAGCTACGTGGCACGACACGAGGGCCCAGACAAGTGCGGACACACAGCTAGACCGTGACAAGCGAGGGCAGCTCTGTTCGCCGACAGACCCATCCAGAGCCAGTTATTCATTCGTTCCCATACTATGAGGACTAGAGGACACCAAATGAAATTAATGGGTAGCAGGTTTAAAACTAATAAGCGAAAGTTCTTCTTCACACAGCGCATAGTCAACCTGTGGAACGCCTTGCCAGAGGAGGCTAGAACTATAATAGAGTTTAAAGAGAAGCTAGATAATTTCTTGGGGGATAGGCCCATAAAAGGCTATTAGCCAGGGGATAAAATGGGGTCCCTGGCCTCTGTTTGTCAGAGGCTGGAGAGGGATGGCACGAGACAAATCGCTTGATCATTGTCTTTGGTCCACACCCTCCAGGGCACCTGGTGCTGGCCGCTGACGGCAGACAGGCTACTGGGCTAGAAGGACCTTTGGTCTGACCCAGTACGCCCGTTCTCATGTTCTTATGTTCAGAGCCTGGAACCCTGCATCAGGACAAGAGTGAACACCCTGTGGGTGCCTGGTTCCAATGCAAGCTTGGTTAAAATGTCCCCTTGCATTTATCCGAAAAAGGCCGTAGCCAGGTTTGCCCTCACCTCTAGGCAGCTGCATAGGGCACCTGAAAATCTGGGGCTTTTCCTTCTGGCTGCCCGGTTCTCGTCTCATGGTGATTCCCAGGTACCCGCCTGCTTTCCCTCCTAGGACCAGGGTTGGGGAGCTGGGAATGACCACAGAGCGCTGCAGGAAATCAGAATCCTGCCTCTCTGTCACGGGGTTCCTCACCCCCAGTGTCTTCCTGCCAGCCTTCTAGCAAGGGCCAACCCCTGCCAGAATACCCGGCGCGGGAAAGGGAGCGTGCGCGGGTTCCAGGGGCTTGCGTCGTGCTGCTTCCAGACTCGCTCCAGTCTCCGGCCCTGCCGGGCGTGGCGAGCGGGGCCGTTCCTCTAGATGCGCACGAAGGGCACCGATTCAGCCTGTGACCCGCGTGGGTCTGGGCGATATTTACTGTGGACTACGGCGCACGTGGATTTCTACAGTGACCGTTACCCGTGCGAACGAGTCCCACTCGCGCCAGGGCGCCCCGCCAAAGCGGAAGAGCAGCAGGCCTGAGGCCGTGCACCAGGACCCGGCGTAGGATTTCCAGCCTTCCAGAGTCAGGGACGGCGCAGCCCCCGAGTTCTGCACTGGCGGAGACAGGCTCAGCTGTGACATTTCACCCCGGTGTGGGAACAGCTCCCAGGCCACGTTCCCAACACACAGTGCCTTAGGACGTGGGCTTTCTAGTCGCTGCCCTGGGGTGGGCGTCTGAGCTATCAGGGCAGTGGAACGACGACTCCGCTCCCGCCCTTGGTGGGTCTGTGGAGGGGGATGCCCTGGCATAGGGTTTTCAAACACGCTCAGCATTTGCCACTGTCGGCCCTAAGGTCGGGGGAAGCCCCCGGCAGAGTTGAATGGGGGGAGCCAGGCCTGGGCGGAGTGCCGGTAGGGCATGTGGCCTGTGCTGGGAACCATCGGGATGGAAAGGCAGAGGCCTCTTCAGACTGATGACTATTTTCAGACAGCTCCTCTGACCGATTTTGGTTTAAACCCAGGGGCGATTTGCCCTCGCTCGTCCTACGGGCTCTTGTAGTCTGTCTCTGCCCGGAGAGGCCCCGGAGCTGTGATACCCGGGTCTTGGCGTGGGTCTGAGCCAACCTCCTGCTTCCCTCTGCTCACGGCCTGTGTCTTCACGCCTGGCCACGGCTGCCGTTTTCTAGTCATTTCCCCAGCTGCGGGTTTCCGATCTGTCCACGCAGGGTGCGGCGGGAGCCCCTCCATTGTTCGGGGGCTGGTCCCTGCCTCCCCCACGCTGCCCGCCAGGCCGGTGATGGCTGCAGACGGCACACGCTGCACGCAGAGCAGTGCCGGGGGCGGCCCTGTTGCTTTCCCCGGGTGTACGTCCACGCAGGGATGCGAGAGGGGCCGTGTTTCCGTTAATACCTTTGCATGGAGTTGGAGGGAGTCCATCTGCTGCCGATATTGCCACGGCTCTTAGCGTCGCGCCTGGAATTATGCAGAAATGCGCAGCGCATTAATTCCTCGGATTAAGTCTTGATTAAGATGTGTGTCACTTTGCTGTCTCAGAATTTATTAAGAGCCCTTCCTGCGGAGGTGGCAGATGGAATTTCTGCCCAATGTTTGTAGATGATAATTTCCCCTCTTCTCCAGCCATTTGCATATGATTGCATCTGTCAAGCACAATTTCCTCTCTTCTAGGGCTTGACTCTGCCCTGCACCAGATTTAAGGAGGAATTCGGACTCCTGCCTTGTCTGCAGCTCACAGACATTTTCGTCCTCGGTGGGGCCCTGTTTGCACAGGGGCCTCATTCGCTCCTGCTGTGCATCTTGTGTCATCCTTTACCTCTGTGCCAGCCGGGACGGGAACAGGAGCAGCAGCCCCGCTGCCTGACTGCAGGTGTAAAACAGACACAACAGTGCCCCGGGGCCCCCCCCCTGCATTTCAAACCACAAGGTTTCTTGGTATAATCGAGGTTCCGCTAGCCGTGCAGACACACGCTAGCTGTGTGTTTTAACCACGTTCAAAATGCTTTGCGCTAGACTAGACCCGGTTGGAAAAGGTGGCTCCGACGGAGTCGGATTCCGTCTCTTACTGATATCGGGTTAGAAAGCGTTTCGCTAGAGCAGTCTTTAGATTTCCTAGTGCCGTTGGAGATGGGTGAATTTTCCCTTGTCGATGGGGGAGGCAGCAAAGAGTCTTGGGCTTTCAGACCCCAGGGCGCATAAACCTGGACACCGCGGACGCCCATCATCTCAGGTATCGGTACGCAAACCTGTGAGGCTCTCTGCCCATCCCACGGTGCTGCGGGAAGGATTTGTGATGGGCGAGTGGAACCACATCAGCATTTCATTGATGCGCCTCCCCAATAGCATCTCAGCAACGGGGAGAGACGAGACAGAGCCGATCTGCCAAGCCCAGACGCTCCCGGTCTGATTACTTGCACTTGATTCGGGTCAGGGCGGATTTCTTTCAGGTGACGATTTCACACAAAGAATGTAGCCAAGCCCCACTACACAACATCACGGGCTTTTTACCTTGCAACAGATCCGCCCTGGTGGGAGGCCTTTACCACTGAAGTCAGCTTTGGCGCTGTTAGCACATGGTCACATTGGAAATCTCATTGTACCGTAAGGACAATGTCAATTTCACGGCCCGAGTTCTCCGCCGGAGGAATCACGCCTGCTCCACCCTGCCCGTGTTGCTAATGAAAGGGGGCCCGGCCTGGCACAGCTCAAGAACCGCAGCTTTCTGGGGAGCTTGTGTGGCAGCAGGGCGAAAGCCAGGCTTGCTCCGAAGGACGGGTGCTGTCCGGCCGGCCGGCGCAGAGAGCAA